CTGCCTGCTAGGAACAAAAATTAGCTCCATCTCAACCAGAGCCAGTACACAGGCTCAGGACTGCACCAGGTCCCAGGCTGGCCAAAGGCAAGAGGAAGGGAGGGGCAAGTAGCAAAACAAACATGCAAGCGGTGTATGGTTCTTGGAAGGAATGATGGAGGGAGGATGGAAGGATGGAAGAATAAGAACTGGGAAGAGCAGGCAGAGTGGCAGGAAGGGTAGGAGGGAGCCTTACCAGGCTGTGAGGAGCTCAGCCATGTTGAGGACTCAGTAGAGGAGGGAGCAGACGCAGGTGAAGGCAGTGGGCTGGTTTTGGCTGTGGAGGGTGTGGAGGACTCTGATACAGGCAGCTCTTTTGGAGCACTCGTTGTCAGGGAAGAGGGCTTGGGCCTTAGGGTTGTAGGTGTAGGCTTATGGCTGGTGGTTGGGGCCGATGTGGAGGAGACTGTGGAAGGGGCAGCAGATGTCAGCCGGGTGCTGAGCGGGCTGCTGGGGGCAGGCGGAGAGCTGGGACTTGGAGATATCCTTGTCAGAAGGACTTGTGTGCTGGTAGCAGGGCTGGCCTCTCTGGAGACAGAGGTCTTGGAGGTGCTGCTGGCAGACGTGGTGATGGTGGTGGTCTTGTGTGTGGTCATTGGTGGCACGATGTGTGGCACAATTGTCTTTTTGTGAGTGTAGGCTGCCAGGAGGAAATCAGAGGTTGACTGAGGGTGCCAGGCCAAGAGGGGAAAGAAAAGGAGGTGGGCAGAAGCCCTGGGCTGGGACGTGGAGCAAGAAACTGCCAGACAGTCAGGCCAGGCTCCCTGGGAGAGATCTGTGCCCAGGGCCATACCAAAACCAAGCCAAAGTATCGATGTCAAAGGAAGTGGGAATGGAGGGTAAGTACCAAACCAAAAGCCCAAGTGGCCTGTGCTGATAGAATGGAAGAAAGGAAGGAAGGAAGGAAGCATGAGAGCTGGGAAGACAAGACAGAGATGTTGAAAGGGTAGGAGGGAGCCTTACCAGGCTGTGAGGAGCTGAGCCATGTTGAGGACACAGTTGATAAGGCAGAAGATGCAGGTGATGGCAGTGGGCTGGTTTTGGCTGTGGAGGACTCCCATGCAGGCACGTC